ACTGTTTGCACTGCCCGGCTCAGGAACTCAACTAGCAGCAGAGGAGCGACGTTCTGTTTTATTTAGAGTGCAGATATCATTTATCCAGTGTGTTTGGTTACTGCTGTAAAACCAACATTTGATACACAAATATGTGCAATGTATAGAGATACTGATCCAGAGGCTGTGCATTAACGTATGAACTCTCTGTAGAGGGGCCACACACAGGCTCACAGTACGTTACCACACACTTTTAAGTTGCTTTCAGTGTCACATTTTCTTCCATTTGCGTAATTCTCTGTGCCATTAAAAAGAGACATCAGCAGATTTATATTTAACTTGATGTAAGTGTCCAGCAGCTTGCGTAAATAAAGAGCTATTAAAGCATCAGCTGAAGGATTTGTGCAATTTCTCTGACATCCTTACTTGAACTGCTGGGGAATGCTCTCCATTCGGGACAGGAAATAGGGAGCGGCACTTCTCTGATTGGCCGGTTTCCCTGACCCAGCGACCTCGGTCATGACTGTCCCAGTGGTGCAGGGACAGACAGACACACACACACACACACACACACACACACACACACACACACACACACACACACACACTTACACTTCAGAGTATGTGACAGAGTCCAGGGAAAAGAGGAAATGAGAATAAAATTGATGGAATAAGACAAATTATTAGACTCTTTGCAGCTACACAAATGTGCCTCTAAAACCAGAAACTGACATGAAACTGTCCAACCATGACAGTAAAAGACATTAAACCCTAAAAGTTAAATACAGTTTCTGTAACAGTGAAACACTCACAGTCATGGCAAAATCCTTTATTTATATGGTATTTTAAAGGAATTAATATGGAATAAAGCTGCTTTTTTTAATTATGTCATTGACTATAAATTGTACCTAAAACTACAATCATATCTCATGGCGAAACCTCTTTTATACAGCATTTAAATGGTATTTTCATGTGGCAAAGTTGTGGTAAACTATGGAATAAAACTCCAACTTTATCTGTAAAACCAACAGTACTAATATCCTTTTACCGTATAAGTAGAAAAGTAAAGTTCTGGCAAACACAGCTGTCAGTTTACTACCGTGTGTGTGTGTGTGTGTGTGTGTGTGTGTGTGTGTGTGTGTGTGTGTGTGTGTGTGTGTGTGTGTGTGTGTGTGTGTGTGTGTGTGTGTGTGTGTGTGTGTGTGTGTGTGTGTGTGTGTGTGTGTGTGTGACATGCAGAGGAAGTAGAAACAGTGGGTGTTGCCTTTGTGTGTACTTGTAGGGTTATTTTAGCAGTAAAAATATACAATGTGTAATAGATACATAGGAGGGGAGGGTGTGTGCTGAGTCGCTGTAACAGTGAGGCTTTAAACAGTTTATTCAGACATTTTTAAGGATGTGATTTCTGCTCATGGACACTAGAGGTCATGCCAGCCATACATTATACTGACTCAGTAACTGACAGACTGTGCTGTCTCAGACTTTATCCTGTATTACGTTCACATTCTGGATGCCTCATCCAAGTGTTTGTCTGTGCCTTTGCCATTATTATTAATACAGTAGAGAGAGACAGGGAATGTACGTATATCACATATTTAATATATAAAGATATGAATGCATTTTAAACTGGAGTCTTTACACATTTTACTGATATTTAATACAGATAATACTAATAAAAAAACACACTTGCCCCCGTCTTTGAATTTTGTCTGTTTTTTTTACCCATTTTCTACGTTTCTGAACCTGCTGCACTCAGGTCAGTTAATGCTGAGAAACCGAGCAAACTATCTGCTGGGAAAGACCATGAGATGTGATTGAAAGCTCTGGAAAAAGCTTGAGTTTTTACTGATGTTTACTCTGTACTGTCTAAAGTGAATATGATTTACATTTTGCACATCAACATTGCAACATCTTTTTTTCACATATGTATTTTAAACAGTTTCATACTGCATGTACTGTATCTTCCTGTTTATTATTTGAACTATTTGCACTAAGTTATAGTTTCTGATGTAAAAATAGAAAATAAAAGCACAAATGTAAACATACAATTGTCATGTTGTATTTTTATGTAAAGCCTCTGAGAGGATATGAGATGTGCAGTGCATACTCTGACCACAAGGTGGAGCCACAGAGTCACAGCTGCTGCACAGCTTCAGTTACCAACTTACTGGATGTTCTGATGAACTCCAGGTTTAATAATAATATAATAACTGAATTGTAATAAAGATTCCAACAGACTGTCTGTGTGTGTGAGGGCAGGGTGGAGATAATCAGCATCTCTGGCTGTAGAAAGTTTTCCTGAACCTGGGCCACTAACAGGTGATGAAAAATGATGTAGTTCCTGTTTTTCTGCACAGCAGAAAGCAGAAGTGGACTTTTTGTTTTAGCAGTAGTTTCTGCCACAAGACAGAGGACAGGGAAAGCCCCCGAAACCAAAACTAACTACAGTTTCAGCCTCGTCATCGAGACTGAGGCAGAGACTGAGAGGCCTGCGGTCAGGATCTTTATTTCTTTATGTTATGTGTGTTTACATATACTTGTATGTGTACATATGTATGCACTGTTTGATTTGTGTTTATTATTGTGCCATAATACTGTATGGAACTGGTACTTTCACTCCTGGCTTGTAAAATCTTGCAAAAATGTGGTTTTTTTATTGTATATTTGTTGTGTTTGTGTTTATTAACATATGTAAACATCAATAAAGATATGTAAAATAATAACAGTATGTCAGTGTGTCTTTGAGAGATTACAGTGATCCAGTCTTACTACTGCTGATGTAAAGGGTCCATGACGAATGACTGAAATTAAATACTCCACACAGACAAACCCTACATGCAGACATGAAACAGGTCGCAGCTGCTGACCCCAATTTGAAGTTGTCACTTTCTTATTAAGCCTTTATAAAGCTGCAACTAATAACTTTAACAGTTGATGAATCGTGTAGTAAAGTTTAATAAATCAGTTATAAGCATTTATAAGAACAAAGCACCCTTTCTATTTGATAATAATGTAGTTATAAAGGCTTAATAAATCCTAATGGGTTTCTCACTTACAATAAGTCATCAGGTATACAATAATATAATGTTTTTAAATTCATTAAGTCTGAAATTTTGATCTAAATAGTGGTTGTCAAAGAGCTTTTTCACAACCTGCAACCCAACATTGTTCTTATTAATGGATTATAAAGAATTCATAACTAGATTAATTGCTAATAAAACCATTAGTTACAACATAAACCCTTTATAAAGATCAGAAAAACCCACAATGGGAGTAAAAAGTAGTCCACGGGAGGTAACTACTCTAACCCTAACTCTCATTAATCGTCTGTACCCAGGGTGCAAACTACAGCCATGAGCTCCTGTGAAACATGAGGACTTAATGCTTTTCTATTTTTCTTTATGATTCATGCATGAGGGTGATTCATCACTAATTCACTTTAATAAAGAAACGGGCATGCACGCTCTTCATCACCATCGAAGCGTGACAACTTCACTCACTCTGAAAAGACTCTTGGAAAAAACTTTCTAAGTGTGCGTGCCGAATCGTTTGGTGCGGTTATTAACTGATCATTATATATCAGACGCTCTGACATGAAGCAAGGCCGACATGCTTTCAGCTATGAATGTTTCTTTGCAGCAACAGTCAGTCCTCCCTGTGAGGCACGCACAAAGCAGAGAGTGGAAAATTATTTCTAACTTCAAACCTATTAAACTGCTTCTGAATCATTAAAAAAACGAATAAAATGTGTAGTAAAATATTCCTTTTGTACTGAAAGGAATTGATTGATAGACCGAGGGACGACGAGGATGAGGCACAAATGATAAAATCAGGCAGACAAACAATTAAACTAATAAATGAATTGTGTAAAAATATGACACTAATTAAAAGTGATGGTAAACAGAAAGGGTTTTAACTTTCATTTGAAAGCAGTCAGCATTGTTTCAAGACTTCTTCTTGCTGTTTGTTTCACGTTTGAGCTGCACAGAAACTAAAGGCAGCTTCTCTACACTGAATTATGACTTTGATCAAAACATTATGAGCACCTGGACTCCCTGACTGGTCCCAGACCAACAGACTGTGATGCACCACCCCTTTCTATCAGAACCAGCATTAACTGTTTCAGCAGTTTGAGCTACAGTAGCTCGTCTGTTGGATTGGACCACACGGGCCAGCCTTCACTCCCCCACGTCCATCCATGACCCTGTCTCCGGTTCTTTTCCTTCTTTTGATCACTTTTGATAGGTACTGACCTCTGCAGACCGGGAACACCCCACAAGAGCTGCAGGTTTAGAGATGTTCTGACCCAGTCTTCCATCAAAATGTGGCCCTCGTCAAAGACGCTGAAATCCTCACGCTGCCCATTTTTCTGCTTCTAACACATCAACTCTGAGGACAAAATGTTCACTTGCTGTCTGATACACCCCCCCACTGACAGGAGCCCTGATAACCAGATAATCAGTGTTATTCACTTCAGCTTTCAGTGGTCACAATCTTATGGCTGATGGGTGTAAATGCAGGTACTAGTTGATCCAGATCACAGATTGTGACATCAAGTTTAGTTTAAGGTGGCAGAATGCTCATTTTGTTATTGATTTAATGTGATTATTAATTTAAGGTTCTGGCTTGGTTTTTACTCTTTAACGACAAACTGTCAAGATGAACACAGACTTAAGTCTTTCTTAAAGAAAGATGGAAAATTACATTTTTTTGCACAGTTGTTGAGTGCAGTCTGGCAGAAGCAGCCGCATTCAGGCTTCAACTGTCAGCCTCAGTATTGATATCTGCAGAAAGGCGAAAGGAAAAGATCTGTCCTTGTCAAAAACTTGAAGACAAAGAGCGACGCTGCGGTGCACTCCGCTGTGTTACAGATATCGCCTTTAGACATACTGTTGTGAAAATAAGAGAGTGTCTGTGATTACCAGTCTCCAGTGGTGTTTGATCTCCCTCAAGGATGACAGAGGAGAATATTGTGAAATATCTCTTTAAAAGGCACAGCGACACGCTGCAGAACATGCTGG